TGAAAGTATGTTTTCTTAGAAGTTATTGATAACATTAACTCAGATCTTATTAGTCATCTCTCACTAGGCAAAACCATGGTTACACCTGGCCTCTATGGTTACACCCTCAGAGGCTGCAGTGTCAGTGGCAAAAGTCTTGCTCCCGGGCTGGGGGGCAAGGGGCTCAGCTCTGTGCACCTCCTCCGTCTGGATTGGTGGAAGGGACAGCTCTCCTTCTCGAACGTGTCTTTTTATGCAAAGGGGAGGGGCAAGGAAGTAGAATTCCACATGATGGCTTTTCTGTAGCTTCTCACTTCCACTCACATTTAAGTAGCAAAAGGAAAGCATGAGACCAGTGGTGATAGCGTGGAACTCAAGTCATATGGCTGTAGAGAGGAACTAATTATGACTTATTGGAGAGAGGGGAAAAACTAATTAGAAAAATAATGTCATCTACTGTAAATGTCATATGTCAATACTGTCTTCCATGGAGAATGTGAGAGTACAGATAAGTCTTGAAAAGATAGAGCCAAATGCATGTCAAACACTCAGTTAGCAGGAAGAGGCTGGAGTCCTCATTAGTACCGGCATCTCTGGCTTTCGCCATTGAATGAGCCCAGAAGAATAGGATGGCTGTTTAAGTAAAACTAACTTTAAAAGGGAGCCTGAGCTTAGCAGCTTAGGTGGGAGTATGATATATGACGATAAGAATGCAAAGAGGGAACAGTGGTAATTAAAAACATATTGTCATAAAGCTCTAAAAGGTTCGTGAAGTAATGGCTTAGGAGAATTTAAAGACAAATACTGTCATTAAAGCAACCACAGAGGTAATAATACAAGGATAACCCCAAGATTAATTACATTAAAGTAAGTGGGCTAAACGCCCTGATCCAAGTCAGCATATTCAGACTGAATAAAAAAAGCAAGATCCAACTATATGCTTCCAAGAAACACTTTTTTTAAATTAGTTTTCATTAATGTTATTTTTGTATTAGCTTCAGGTGCGCAGCTAGTAATTAGACAGTCATATTCTTTGCCAAGTGTTCCCTTTGATATCAGTGCCCCCAGCACCGAGCTTAGTTTCTATAATAGTACTGACTCTATTCCCTGAGCTGGACTTCCCAGGACTGTTTTGTAGCTACTGACTTGTCCTTTTTAATCCCTCTGGCTCTTTCACCCAGTACCCAACGCCCCTCCCTCTGGAAACCATCAGTCCGCTCTCTGTGTCTACGAGTCTGTCAATAACACACTTTAAACATGTGAACAAACAGGTTGGGTGTAAAAGAATAAAAATAATAAGTGCAAGAAAGCTGGTGTGGCTCTGCATATCAGAACAAAGCGGACTTCAAGATGACTAATGTTGCTAGACATCCAAAGGGTGCATTTTTTAATGAGAAAAGGGTCACTTGTTTAAGACGACATCAAACTTCTAAATGTTTCTGCACCCAATATCAAAGCTCCAAATACAAGACAAAACAAAAGAGAACTGGGAATAATTTCATTTCACTGATAGAGATTTTAACACTCCCTTCTCAGTAGCAGATCAATTGAAAAATCAGTACAGTTCCAGCTGATTTGAACAACACTAACCATCTACTTAAAGCTAATTAACATTTACAGAAAATTACTGCCCACAGGAGGTTACAACTTCTAACATGCTCATGAATTATTCAAGAAGGTGGACACTATTCTAGGTCATAAAACAAGTTTCAATAAATATAAAAGGACTTACATTAAAGAGCATGTTCTCTAACCATAATAGTTACATTATAGGTGAGTAAAATAATATACTTTTAATATATATATATATATATATATATATATATATATATATATATAATTGATCTTTTACAGAGAGGAAGGGAGATGGATAGAGAGCTAGAAACATCAATGAGAGAGAAACATCTTCCAGCTGCCTCCTGCACACGCCCCACCAGGGATGTGCCCCCAACCAAGGTACATGCCCTTGACCGGAATCGAACCCAGGACCTTTCAGTCTGAAGGCCGACGCTCTACCACTGAGCCAAACCGGTTTTGGCAAAAATAATATACTTTTTAAAACCCTCAAATATTTATTCAAATATTTGAAAAACCACACTCATTAAATAATCCACGAAGTAGAGAAGAAATCTCAAAGGATATTACAATATATATACATTTTGAACAGAAATCATAAAAGCACAGTATTCATATTTGTGAGTTGCAGCTAAAGCATTCTTTACAAGGAAACTTATACGTTTAAGTATATATTAGAAAATAAGAAAGGTGTCAAATTAAGTACTTTTTCCATTTTAAGAAACTATTAAAATAATAAATTAAACCCTGGCTATAAACACCAAGGAAATAATAAGAGCAGAAATCAATAAAATAAAAATTTGAATAGCTTTTATGTAGAATCAAATGATGGTACTGTCATAGACAAACTCTTTCATGAAGTAGGGGAAGTGGGAACTCTTCTTCCAACTCCCATCATGAGAACACGGGTACCATATTGCAGTACAGCACATATACCATAGCACATATATGTAATATGTACTTCATCTAACTATTAAAAATGCTATATGTGTAATTATAATACCACCATCATACATATTAAAATATGATCCTATGGCCAAAACCGGTTTGGCTCAGTGGATAGAGCGTCGGCCTGCGGACTGAAAAGTCCCGGGTTCATTTCCGGTCAAGGGCATGTTAAGTTGATTGTGGGCTCATCCCCAGTAGGGAGTGTGCAAGAGGCAGCTGGTCAATGATTCTCCCTCATCGATGTTTCTAACTCTCTATCCCTCTCTCCTCCTCTCTATAAAAAATCAATGAAATATATTTTTAAAAAATACGATCCTATGAATGACAGTGTATCTATCTTGTGCTCTTTACTTTTGAGTATAATTATGAGCAAGCACAATTCCTACCCCAGGTCACCCCCAGGAGGTTCCTAAGGAAGGGTCGCAGCTGTGGAAGAGAAGGGGAGCCCCTAAGTGGCTGTGACTGTTCCTGAAGGACCGTCCCCCGCCTCAGTATGTTTCCTGAGTGATGGGAAGTCTGGAAGCTTCGGATCTCGCTGACACTAAAAGGCTCTCCCATTAGCAGCTTCCGTGCTGCATTAATAATAAGAAAGGAATAAGGGATCAGGCTCAGCTGCAGGCTCTCCCGGGAGGGGAGGCCGCAGCCCCCTGCTCATCCCCACGGCCTCTCTAATGGCCTTGCCTGTGTGAGAGAAACAGAGGGGATGCTAAGTGATGTCTGTTTTCTCAGAGTTCAAAATCCCTTCTTCTTGGGGAGGAACTCTGGTTCTCTTTTTTTTTTTTTTTTTTTTTTTTTTTTTAAGACTTCTAAGTTTAAAACTGTATCATGAATACTTTTTCGGTTGAAGTGAATCTGTCGGAATTCACACCTATTTTAATGTAAGTGCAAAAAGTGAAGCACAGGGGAAAATTGCTCTAGAAAAAAATAAATCCATCTTTCCTGGGAAACTTGAAAAACTGAGTCCTCTAAGAGATGTCTCACTTCTCTGCCCAGCAGAAAATTTTTAAAAATCAAGAATAAGGGCCTTCACTTTTGCAAATGTTAAAAACTCTTGTTAATAGGCAAAGAAGAAACGATGAGAAAGTATCTTATTAAAACAAGATCAGTGAGGTTGGATTTGTTAGGTTCAGGGTGCATGTTAATGAATTATGTCTCTTAAAGTTGTGTCTTTTCCGGGTTCATAAAGTTAGGAGCCCACGCCATACTTAACAGCTTGGGTTCTTTTCCGACTAAAAATGCTGACCTTCAGCAGGAGTGCACTTTTAAGATCTCCCTGATGTAAACATCTGTTTTTAAGTGTGTGACCTGACCAAGGAGTAAGAGTATCTTAGGCGTAGTTCGGTTGTGGCAATTTTTCATCTACAAGAAAAACCATTTTTGCTATCAACTACTTTTTAATTGGGTAAACAATAATTCATTATCTCAGAAGTATTGCTCAGATTTTCATTATTTGGACTGAAAATGCTAGAAGGTTTTCCTTGATTTATACTAATGTGCCCTGATTTTGCAGTTGATTTTTATAATTGGGCTATAAATTGCATACTTTTGTACTTTTAATTCATGAGAAAGAAAGAACAATGCCAATAATCATCATCAATGACAATATATATTTTCAAAATGAAATATATGGTCATAATCCTCAGGAAAGAAATCACTATGATAGGGCTCTGAACTATTTATGTAAGAATCAAGAAATTATTGTACAAACCCATTAAGAGCTGTTTTCCAGAAATTTATAATTAATGTGTGTTTTTTTCTTATAAGTACTTAACATTTTAAGGGAGGACAAAGAAAATACATCTAATAAGTCAAGGCTGCCCATTCAGATTCTTAAGATTGTATATAAAAGCCTGCGAGTGAAAAAGAAATATACAACTTAGAAATGAGACAATGTTAGGTATTTATCTACAGTCTGGTGGACATTAGATTTTTCCTCTAGGCAAGGAAAACAAAAATCTAAATCCCTTTTCATTAAATCACTCTTTCATGTAATGTATTTATGAGCCAATGAATTTTCATAAATCCAGTGGACCTGTCATTTGTTTTATGTTGCTAGTAAAATGCTGAAATGTGCGGAAACCGGTTTGGCTCAGTGGATAGAGAGCATCAGCCTGAGGACTGAAAGGTCCCAGGTTCAATTCCGGTCAAGGGCACATACCTTGGTTGCGGGCACATCCCAGTGGAGAGTGCGCAGGAGTCAGCTGATCAATATTTCTCTCTCATCAATGTTTCTCAGTCTCTCTCCCTCTTCCTTCCTCTCTGTAAAAAAGCAATAAAATATGTATTTTTTTAAATTGAAATGCCCGTTACATACCAATGGGTGGCATGTTATTGTTAGATTGCCCTTAAATTTAGGGGAGGGAGGAGCAGAGAATGCCATTCTTATGAAGCCCCGATAGCAAATAGGGCCATTGGGAAAGCAGCCGCCTTCTGACAGTCTTACAGTTGTTAGTTTCTACACTTGTCTAAATTAGTCTGTTCCCTCCTCTCCCCTGCAGTCCACGAAGGCTCGGGCGAGACCAGCCAGAAGGAGACCTCCACCTGTGACATCTGCCAGTTCGGGGCGGAATGTGACGAGGACGCCGAGGATGTCTGGTACGGTGCTCCCCCTGACGCTTCTCAACAAAACCATGAACGTTGACTTCTTTTTACTCCTTCCCGTGTTTCCGGAGGAAGATGTGGTCGGCATTTCTTTTTCTTATCTAGTTCCTCAGGTGGGTGGGATGCAGGGAGGGGAGAATATGAGTGCTGTTGTAATGGCAGGAATTTCTGAAGCTGAATTGAGAGCTGGGCTGGGCCAGCTTCCCTGCTTCATTTAATAGGGGATAAAAAGCCATCACAGAGATGCCCCAGGATTGTCAGGGTTCAGAGAGGGAGAGAACAGTCACATTTACCAGAACATCTCCCACGAAGTGTGGTCAGGAGCCGGTGGACACCTGCTGATCCGCTTTCTAAGGGCAGGTCTGGAGCTTTTACTGAAGGGACTGCCTCTGGGTGCTGGTGGCGGAGCTGGGAAGATAGTAAAGCAAAGGATGACCAGAGCTGCCCTATAGGATCAACTTCCCCTTCACCCCAGCAATACGCAGCCTCTCCTGGAGATATGCAGAAGCCATAGTGAGTGGTGTTGATTATGAATGGGTCCCAAAATGCTAGCCTTCTAGGGCATGAACATGTGTTTGGTTCTTCCCTGATCAGACCCAGAGTGACCAGCCTAGAATCCAGAGGAGGTCTTTGTGCTGTGATAGAGGAATGAGACAGCCCCCCTCTCTCTCTCTTTTACTCTCTTTCTCACCCCCACCCTCTCTCTCTCACTGCTCTACCTCTTCCTTCTCCCTTTCTCCCTCACTGGCTTTGACCTGTACCTTTCAGGAAAACAGCCAAGTGCCCTTTGTTTTCTTCAAAATGCGTCCATGCTTGCCTGGAGCTTTTAGCACTCATTTTGATCAAAGTGGCCAAGTGAATCTTACATGCTCTCACCAACAAAAGCGGGTGATTCTGTGACTGGATGGTGGTTTTAGCTGACATGATGGTGGTAATTCTGTCTATACATATATATATAAGCCTAAGCAACCATTTGACTACCAGGGGGCAGATGCTCAATGCACAGGCATGGAAACATGAAAAAGACTGATGAATCTCAGAGGGAAACGGGGCGGGTGGGAAGAGATTAACCAAAGATCTTATATGCATATGGATTTGTGTACCTATGGAGTCCCTCAGCCTGATCTGCTAGGATTAGGCCGAAACCGGCAGTCTGACATCCCCCTAGGGATCCAGGATTGTGAGAGAGTGCAGGCCAGGCCAAGGGAACCCACCAATGCACAAATCCATGCACCTGGCCTCTAGTTACAATATAAAAGTGTAACAAATCAGCCTGTTATGCATCTTAAACCTATACAATATTATATATCAATTCTATCTCAATTTTTAAAGAGTAATCATTTTGATCACATTTTTTGTGGGTGGAGGGGACATTTCAAGGGACAGGAACAGGCAATGAAGGCAACATAATTTTGGCAAGAGTGAAACAGTCTGCACTTAAAATCCTTAAACATGTCTGAGTGCAGAAAAAGTTGAGGATTCCAGCTGGAAACACTGGGCTCTGGGGTAAATCAGTGGCTCCGTGTTCCAGAAAAGTGGGACTTGGAATCTTACTCCTCCCCAGTGCATTAGGGCTCTGTATGTGAAGACACACTGACAGGAAATACACTTTTTTTTAACAATTCATGTTTAATGTTTGCTTATCCCTGCATCTGTAGTTCAGCATTATTTTTTAAAGCTGTTAGAAATCTTGCTATCAATGCTCTACCTTAAAAAAGTCTACATGGGTCCCTAATTTTTTCTTAAGAATTTCCATTCCCCTGGTTCCTCCCGTCCCTCATGATCATCTTTGTGATATTGTCCCCTTTACAAGTGCAGAGACTTAAGACAAGAGCTGAGCTGAGCGAGCAGGTGGAGATTGAGCAGGTGGAGATTAAGGACTGCTTACTGCGGGCAGGCTCATGTGTAGGCACATTTCTCTCAGTTATCTCCAGGAGAAGCCCGGGGGTGTCTTCCTTTATGATTTCGGTCTACAGTGAGGGCTCTGCTTTCGTTTTTCAGTGTGTAAGTGGCAGAGCCAAGAGGAAGCTCTGAGCTCAAAGTCACCAGAGGTCATTAGCCTAACAGCTCAAGCAAAGACGCAATTAAAATCCCATTGTCCCCTGTCCTGTCTGCAGTCATGGGATGGCCATGATGGCCAGATCGCAGGACTCAGGACCCACAGGGTGCGAGCTGGTGACAGGGCGGTGCCTGCAGCCAGCCAAGGGAAAACAGCAGGCAGGCAGTGCCCCTCCTGGTGTCCCAGCAAGACAGGATGTGTGATCTGGAAGCAGGCAGTGCAGGGAGGTACGGGCAAGACCCAGGGCACCTGAACTTAGGAAAAGAAACTCGGTTCAAAACCACGGAGAGGACAGGGCAGACCCTCTGTCGGTGAGAAGCGGGTTACCAATCAGGAAAGGCAACCGGGCAAATGGGGGGACTCTGGGGGACACCAGCTTGCAGGAGCTGCTGTAGGAAACAAGCCGGGGACCAGGGGAGAGGCCAGCACCTGGACCTCAGAGAGAAAGGCCAAGGTCAGTGTCAGCGTGCTGCCTGGATGCTCTGTCATTCGCTCCTGGCTGAGGGCATCTCTGCACCCGCAGCCTCCAGACAGGACTGGCTCCCAAAAGGGGAGGAAGGCGAGCCCCCTCCCCCCCCTCTCCGGGCTAAGAGGCAGAGCAGGGCAGACAAGGGGTGGCAGGGAGGAAGCCAAGCAGGAGGGAAGAGCTGTTAGCCGTTAAATAAAAGGTCCTTACCGCGTCCAAGGCAAGCAGCAAGGAAGGGAGCTGCAGTGGTAAGAGTATTCGTTTTTCATTTGCATAAATGCCTTTGTCTGGGAACGAATTATATTTAGGAATGGCTATGAAGAGTAGAGGAGAGAGCCGAAGGACACAGAAATAAAGCAGGAGTGCAATTAAACAGGCAACAGGCGTGGAAGAAAAGAGGCTACAGAGAAAGCCAGGAAACAGTAGGGGAGTGGCCTGACCCGCATCCCGCTGCCGATGCAGGGAGCTCTGAGGTGCCAGTGATTTGGGCGAAGCCATGGCCGGTTCCCCAGGCCGGAAGCCCCGCACATGCCTTGTGGCCGCCAGGGATGCGCTCGGTGCTCTGCGTTATCTTCTGCTCCCACAGGAACTCAGCCGCAGGCTCGTGCCCACCCAGCTCCTTTGTGGAAGAGCCACACTCTAGGGGCCAAAGAGCTGCATGTGGCTCGTGAGTCGCAGTTTGCCGACCACTGTGTTAGGCTAACACCCTCCGGTGACTTTGAGCTAGTCCTAACAAGCCACGAAGAAATACCGCGGAGAAATAAGGTCATTGCTGCACCCGCAGCATTAGAGCCCGGCCCAAGAGGCTGATATTTTACCTCTGGCCGCAGGACCGAGGCTGGCGAGGCAAAGGTGCACAGGTCCTTCCAGTTGTGCTGAGTCTGGGTTTGAGTTAGAAGCCAGCACAGTCTGCTGACCTGTTTCCATAGTCTTCTGGCTGAGAAGCAGGTCTCATTGGATGTGAGGAAGAAAAAATAAATGAGAAGGGAGAGGAGTAAGGAGAGTAGAGAAAAAGGAGAAAAAAAATAGTAATTAGAGGCGGCATTGATAAACCGTGTCCTCGTGTTTTACTTACACTTAATACCTTTATTTGAGGAAACTATGTGATTTGTAAATTCATGTAAGTCTCTCACAAAGCATTGACTTCAAAATCGTTGGAACACCTTGCAAAGGGAAGGGGTATGTGGCTTGTTTGTGGAGCCGGGGTTGAGAAGAAATGAGCCCGGCCAGTGTGGTTCAGTGATTGAGCATTGACCTATGAAAAGGAGGTCACAGTTCAATTCCTGGTCAGGGACACATGCCTGGGTTGCAGGCTCGATCCCCAATAGAGGGCATGCAGGAGGCAGCTGATCAGTGGTTCCCTCTCATTATTGATGTTTCTATCCCTCTCTCTCTCTCCCTTCCTCTCTCTGAAATCAATAAAAACATTTTAAAAAGAAGAAATGAAAAGAAAGGCTTAAAGATCTTTTCTCTCTATATCTAGACTGAAAAGAAAAGTCAAAACAGATACATTTACACATCAAAGAGACTTTCAAATGCATCCTGTCAAAATAGTTTATAAAGAAAAAGAATTGCAGGTAACTAAGTGGGACATGATACAATTGGCTGGCCGCAGAGTAATACAGCCCCATCCAATATGCTGAGAAGATCAGGGTCTCAGCATACATCTCTGATACTTGGTTGGTCTTAGAAACAGCTTTCTGTCCCTTTAATTATCATACCTGATAAATTATTCCAGGAAGTCCAAAGTAGGTCAACAGGAACTTTTGGCACTGGGAACTACTCCTAAGAAGTAATTAGCTTGGAACTTTCCATCGGTCCTGTAGATCAGTGGTAGTTCAGCGCCCAGGGGTTGATTCTTGACTTAATAAAAGAATAAAGTTGGTAGCTGGGTTTGATCCGAGGAACGGCTGGGCATGGAGCTGCCTGTGTGCCTCCCGTGTCCAGGGTGTCGGATGGACCCAGGGAGCCCAGGTGTAGGAGCAGAGGCAGCCAGTGACACGTGGCTTAGAACATTGGTCAGCAAACTCATTAGTCCACAGAGCCAAATAGCAACAGTACGATTGAAATTCCCTTTGAGAGCCACATTTTTTAAACTTAAACTTCTTCTAATGCCACTTCTTCAAAATAGACTCACCCAGGCTGTGGTATTTTGTGAAGAGCCACACTCAAGGGCCAAAGAGCCGCAGTTAGCTGACCACTGGCCCTGAGGGCTGGTTCGATGATGCTATGTGCGTGCTTCCCACGTGGCTGGAGAGTCTCGCTTCCACTTAACTCCGCGCTCCTGTTCTTCTCGCATGCACTCAGGCTCCATTAGCAAGTCACAGCGGCCTAATAGCTATTAATTCCTCAAGCAGCCATTTATTTTCTCTCAGAAACATTAGCGATGTTTTCCATTTTCGTGCATAATATCCTGGCTGGGCCACAATGGTGAGAAAGGAGAAAACATCGTGGCTGCAGTGAAACAGG